ACTTAACGCCATATACTCTGACGCAGCACCTGCTATCAGAATACAGTGATTGGATAGCCATTTATCTCGTATGCTCGCAGGCATGACCACAGACTGTTGCGCGGAATCCGCGCGATAACGCAACTAATATCTTTAATAATTTAATAAACTTATTAGTTTATTGTCTTGTAATCATTATGGTTCCTGTTCATCGATCTGCTGTGATCCGAAATTTTGGGCTGTTAGTATTGGTAATTTCCTTTATGTACAATTTAACTCAATGGTTAAAAATAATATTTTCAAAGCTTATAAAACACGTTCATTTTCAGACGAACGATGTAGATTTGGAAGAACATTCCGAATGCGTGGGTTTGTGCACGACGGTTGCCTCGACACTGTAAACGTTTACGTTAGTTCATCTACTCTCGCTCTGTGCATTTGATCCGTAGACGATGATTACAGTAGAGAAAAGTTTTGTCCCTTGCCAATGTCACTGTGAATGTCACAATGTATGTGTCCAATGTTGACATTTCAGCATCGTATCAAAATCCATGCACCTGTGACCGAAAAACGACTGTTTGCCTACCAACATGAGGTCTCGTGTGTTCCTCATGAGGTCGAGGCCGTTATCATTAAGAGTCATCACAGGAAGTTCACTTACAAATCTGAACCTATGTGATTTGCAGTTGTAGAATAAATTTAAAAGCAAAACATTTTATTGACTAATGCGCGACACGTCGAAACGCTTCACATCTACAAATAATTCAGCACTAAGAAGGACAACTGCAAAAGAGGAAAGGGAAACGCGTATCAGGCACGCAGTGGTCACAAAAGCAAACAAGTCGGTCGATTAGTATCAACAATCTGCCAGTGAGTTTATGCGCTTGTGTCTCCCTCGTCACTTAAGCAATAACAATAGTCATCATATGCGGTAGTGATTTACGAATACGGATCGATCGATCGAGCATGTCGTGCGTGCGTGATACGTTCGGTGTTCGACAGCAATGGATCAGATCAGCTGACCGTTCATCCGTTAAGTCCGTTCGTTCGTCCACTTCGCCAGACACATGTTCAGGAACGGACAACGAAGCGGCCGGTATCGAGAAGCGGCTTGAGCAGACTGAGAGATATCTGGTAGCAGTGCACGATATCGCCATGCATCCAGTCCTTACGGCGTACCAGACGACTGCCGATCATCAGTTGCTCGTCGCTGACCTCCAAGTTCGAAAAGTGCGCCTGAGGAATCGTCATTTTCACCTCCATGCCTTGTGGCGCATTATCTATGGCAGCGGCATTGTCGGGCTCTACCTGCAAGGCGGCCGCTAACTTCTCTAGCTGTCCTGAAAAAGTTTAGTTGAGTACTATGACGTACTTTGATTCATCTTTTACTTTCGCAATATTACGTCTCTAAGCGATACGAGGGATGTAAAGGACATATTTTAACATTTTATAAAGGTTCCACTGAATAGACGTGGTCATAAATTACTCAAACTCTACCATGATCCTACCAACGCAAAAATCTATTCAGGGGATGCTGTTTCCTGGTCCTGAGCCTTCAAGATGGCCTTCTGGTTCGGAGCCTATCAGTGCTGCGGGCGACAAACGAAATTTACGAAACTCCACCACCCATCTACCTTGAAGAAGGCCCGTGAGACACGGGCCAAAAGGCCGGTATTGGTCATTTACCGATTATCCTGACTATACCTTTATTAAACCAAGTTTACGTTGTTTCTTCTCTATTGTAGTGCGGATAGAAAACTTTAACCACTGTTAATTAAAGACTATGTTCATACAGCAGTTGTAATGAAAAGTCTTATCCCAGCAAAAATACAAAAATGGGCTGTTATTACTGAAGAATTTTGAAGGACAAAACGAGGTTCACAACTAAAACTGAACTTAAAGACCTGTTTCATAGAACTTTGCTACAGCCGCGAAATCTTTTATTACTGGCAGCATTATACTACGAATTTCCTGTTGTATATTAAACGAAAATTTACCTAGTGTTAGGAAACGCGTTAATGCTAAACTTAAACATGACGTATGCTTGACACAGAGGCGGAGAATAAAAGGCTGAATTACTAAGCGGACTAACGATCGAGAAACGTTTTAAGAACAGTTTTAAATATGCATGAATGTTTTGAA